GATCACGACTGAGAATGCAAGTGAAATAAATACTAAATTGAATGAGCTTATAATGCATCCAGACATCAGAGTGCTAAAGAACTTTAACCTTCAAAATTTCTGTATAAAAATTCCTGCAGGTAGTGGCAAGTTTACTCGTATAGTGTTGTTTCATGACATACATTTATATGATGATTTGTGGAATGCTGATATGCCAATTTTGATGATAGAGCGACATGATAAACGCGAACTTTGTATGTGCTATCGAGACAGTTTACAGTGGCCAAAAGTAGATGAAATCAGTTGGGACGATGAATCTATAGTTTACACCGATGAAATGTGGCGATGTCAACGGTGTCCGTATAGTGAGTCGGATCTGATCTACATGTCCGCACATTAATTGACTGATTGAACAATAAATTGAGAAATTCTCAGTGCAATCTTAAGCATCACAATGCAATATTTTTGTGCTGATACATCAATGCGTGGATGCGGTTGACCGCATGTGCGACATTCCAGATAGCACAAGACAATTCTATGAATATTTTAAGAATATTCTTCAAGAATATTTGGAATATTCCATAGGACATTCGTATATATTCATTGTAGGTTCGTAGAACATTCGAATGGCACTAATTAAAATATTCTCAGATTATGAATAGAATAATCTACTGAATATTCTATATAATAAGTTATGAATGTTTATAGAAGATTCCGAAAGAATATTAACAGAACGTTCTGTAAATATGCATGATATATTGTACTGAATATTGTGCAAATCATTCTGTGTATTTTACAGAATATTCTATCGATAATTCAACGTATATTAAAGAATATTGTGCAGAACTTTCTATATATTTTATATAGAATATTCTATAAATATATTTCCCTTAATATCTAAATCTTTTTCAACTTTTCATAAAAAAAACAAAAATTATTATAGGAAGCAACAGAATTCGAGAATGTTAAGGTGTTAATATTATTTGTTAACTACTAACATTCTCAAGACCTATTATTTCCCTAACAATGATAATTTGTGTTTTTTTTTTATGAAAAGGTGAAATTGATTTAGCCGTTTGTGGAAATATTAATTTATAACTACAGAATTAGATATAATGTGTGCCTTTCTTTAAAAAAAAATAATTGTAACTTTTATAAATGGGCAACTTAATAATGTTTTTGGAACTGTAATTATTTGAATATAAATTAGAGAGGTTTACGTGTAATTAAAAAATAGATATTCCTTTCAAGGTGAATTTTTTATTATGTATAAAAGTAAAAAACAATTTTATATATAAACATTGTTATAAATATATAATTATTGATAAATCAACCAATAAATGAACAAATACTAGTGAATGGGCAAAAAGCCCATTAAACTTACAAAAAATAAAAAATAAGCAAAATAAAATAATTTACGAGGGATAGTTTGTATTTCTTTATTAATACGTTTCTTTATTTATTGGTATCTCCCCGCTCATTAATTGATACATTTTTTCATTTATTGGTCGAATCACCTATTTATAAAAGAAACAATTATCCAAATTTTTTAATTTAACACTAGAAATACTGAAGGTTACATATGTCTACATATGCATTGAAATCATAGAAGAAAGTTATAAAATTAATCATCTGTAAAATTCTGGAGAAATTGCAAAAATTAACATGTTTTAAATAGACGATAATTACTAAAAGAACGTCAAATAAGTCACTTTTGATTCTCTAGTTAATTTCTAGTGTTAAAGAATTAATATGGTATAATTATCGCAACAATAAGTGTCGTGTAACAAAAAGAAAGCTTAAAACTTTTCTCATAAAATATTACCAACGTTCATAATGTGAACAATATTCTTGAACTTACATAGAATAAGAAAATATTTTAACTTATCACTTACACTTTGGTTATAGATCTGAAAAATTAAATATATCTAGTAATACTGAAGATGACGTATATCTAGGCATCCATTGAGATCGTAAAATAAAAAGGAAAATGAAGAAATTGATCACAGAATCATTACATCATTAAAGAAAATTTTCAGAATTTAAGGTAATATAAAAATGAACAAGTTTTACAAAAGTGAATAATTATTAAAGAAATGAATAATTATGAAAAAATTTGAAATAATTTAATTTTCTTTTGCTTGGAATAAAACGATCTTAAGATTTCTTTTTTTTCTGTGATTACATCTTTCGTTCATTAGCTTTTACAAGCCAATATTTAATTACAATCTCTATCACAACTTCGGAGCAACTATGCGTCATTTGAGTAGCAGTTATTATTGCTGAGCAAGTTCAAAGATTGGAGAAATTATGTTTTCCTTTCCAACCTATCCAACTATATTCTTTGGCCAAATCATCAGACATTATTCTTGGCAACATGCGTTTCACCATATTTTTGTAAGATGTACCTCCAATTTGTTTAATTTCTTTGACCTAAAATACAATTATAAATTTATATAAATCGTAAATACAATCAAAATGTATATAAATAAATTTGCTTACCAAATTTTTGAAATTTTCCTCTTGGCCTAAAAATTCTTCTAGTTCTTCCAATTCTGGTAATGTTTTCAAAGGAAAATTATAGGTTTTAAATATGGAATTTTTATTGGATGTAATTGGTTCATTTTTGTCAGAATTTGCTTTCGTTAATAATACACTGAGATCCTCTGAAATCTGTTGCTGTCTAAGATTAATTATTTGCAATTGTCGTAATATTTGTCTTTTGAAATTGTTATCTGAAACATAAAATATTTCGTAAACATACATACATTAGTGATATCTATTTTTATATACAGCAAACATTACTGCAAACTATTGTTTATTATTATATAACGCATTAAAGAAAAAATACATAAGTAGCTAATTGTGTAGGAAAAAGAAAAATAGAATATAATGGATAATATTACCACATAGATTATTAGATGATTTTAAAGTTTCACATGAAGATGTATCGAAAGTAAATATGCTGGATAGATGTTCACGATTTTCTTTCTCATGGTTAGATTTCCTTGCTGCAGTAGAATTAACGTCATATTTATTTCTGACTGCAGATTGTGATGTAGATGATTTCACAGCAGCTGTCAAAGTTAAAATTGAAAATTGTACTTTGAAAGTTTGAAAGTTGTGTTGTACTTAAAAAATGCAAATTAATATTATATATATTCTAAAGCATACTTTTAGATGGTGAAGGAGGTAGTTGTGGATTTCGTATATCATCATTTTCGGAAGAGTCACTTGAACTTTCGGAAACCTTGGTGTTAACTTTTTGTGCTATAATCAGACCAAACACTATTTTTCGTCAAAATAAGATAGTTTATAACATATTAAAAATGGGTTTAATCTTACTCTTTTGTGTGATGTTCGACTTGACGAAGTTTTTTGTCGAAGGGTAGGGTATTTATTAACCTGAGCGATATCGTCTCCGGAATTATTTTCATCAAAAAATCGTTTCTTTTTTCTTTTAATTTCCACATCGGAATTAAGATCCGATGTATGTTCTGCTTTCGCACACTTTGTTTTTGCCTTTAGCAAATTATCTGAAACAAACATACATGAAATTAATAATTTCATAAGTTTATAAGTTTAAACAAAATATTCAATCTAATAATATATAACGATATTATTTAAGATTTGATATTATTGAAGCTTACCATATTTTTGTCCATTCGCTAATTGCCGTATTCTACATACTTCCCACTCATCAATTATTGGAGACGATGACATCGCTTGCGTTAATTTTGATCCTTTATAAGGTGGCCAATAACAAGTGTCGTCGTACACCCAATTAGATGGTACTGCCTCCACAACATTATCATCAACAAAATGAACTATGATCCACTTCATTATCTCAAAATTTTTATTAAAATCGAATTTGAAGATACGATTTTACTGCTTTGAAAAACAAATATATTTTGTTGTTATTAATACAAATATATTTATTTCAAAAATAGTTTTTTATTAATGTATTTTAAAATCTATGAATGTAAAAGCCATTGTTAAGAAAAAATGTACAAAATCAATTCCATATGTGTAATATAAGATAAAATTTAAACATGAAGGAGAGGAAAAACGACAAAACCTTTTTTATGTGGAAAAATAATAAGTTTGTTAATAATATCATTAACTAACCAAAGTGAAGTAGAACCAAGAATATCTAAGAAGTAAATATTTAATCGCGAAGACTGACACGGCTCATTAAAAAAATTATAAATATTTTGAAATTTTTGACCGATAATGTAATAATTATTGTTGCGTATAGCAAAATTTTCGATAAGTACTACAGACATATCTCGAAGTAAACAACAATTGTTTCCAGTACTTGTACTCAGTTTAAAGTATTTGAATGTGCACTTTTTATATTCTTTTTCAAAGTCATTTGATGTCAAAGGTCCTTCATTATGCTCTGTGTTGAACAATATTTCGTTTTCCGTTGTGTTACATGTTGATAATATATAATCTTTTTCATGTAAACGACGTATAATTTGAGCTAATGGTTGATCTTCCTTCCTCATTAATTTCTTTAAAGTTTGCAAACAATTTTCAAACGGAAACGCACTGAATAAATCTAATCTTCCAAAGATTTTACTATCTTCCACTATGTGTGCTAATCCATGCACATTATGCGAGATATATTCGTAACCATAAATAACTTTCATTTGATTAATAAAGTATAGCATTAAGTTATGTGCGAATTCACTATATGTTTCGTATAAATGTTCAGAGATCAAAATTCTACTTGCACTATGTAAGATAAGAAAATGTAAATATTTATTGGAAGATATGAAGTCCTGTAAAACTACTGGTCCGCTATATAATAAAAAAAATCTAAATTCTGTCGCTTTCCATCGTTTTACTTCATGCAAGGAACGCGTTTTTCGAACAAATTCAAGTGGAACATAATCTTTTAAGGATAAAAGTAAATCAGATATTTTTTCTACATATTCTTTGGATAATTTATATGAAGGTTTCCCTTGTAACCATATATTGAAAAGAAGTTTTTTTACAACACCTAAACAAATTAGATGTATGTACTCCAAAGGAAAATTAGTAACCATTCCAAGATTAGGTATATTTTCTAAAATAGATACTCCATTATGATATTCCGGCTGCAATTTACGGCGAAAGCTATCATTTGTTCTTTTTGTTGCATTATTTTTAATGAAACAGACTCTATTTTTGATATATTTACCTTTCTGTGTACATTTAGTACAAGAATAAAATCCGGAATGACCTTTACAGTAAGTTATATAAGATTTTGCAGGAGCATCACAAATGAAATCTTTAATTGAAAATGGTAAAACTTACCTTTGAAGTACAAAACCATCATTTACTAGTTCAATAGCTTCTTTCTGAGAATTCTGAGAGAAATTCGTTAGCATTAGTGGGTTTTTCATAACCATGGTAAATTCCAATTACATATATATTATTAGGATACTTATATAAGAAACATAAAATTGGATATATTTGACTACTAGAACTTTTGCTAAGAGGTAATCCATCTATATTAACTAGTAAATCAATCGATAATAAGGTAGAACTTTCTACTTTAGAAATTTATGTTTCTACTGCTAACTTTATGCCAAAGTGTGCATAAATTCCAGGCTCTATATTTTTTGAAAATGTTTTCCGAGGTGTTGAAAGTAAAGTTCTAGGATCACTTGGTAAATTTGAATGAATAGATATTGTTTTCAGTAAATTTAATAATTTTCTTAATGTGTCATGAGGCACATTGCATGTAATCGCCCATTTGCGCAAACCATGCAAAAAATTATTTTCTAAATTATTGCTCTGCAAATTAACATCAAAGTTACTAGAACTAGTCGAAAGATGGCTATCCAAATTATTTTGGCAATCTAAAGTATTATTGTAATCTTCTGTAAGAACATCTGAAAACTTATCATTAGCAATATAGCTATCATAATTATTTATTTTATCAGAACTATTACGTTCACTACTAGAACTGATTCTGTAAATATTTGTCGAATTTATAATAGCATCAGAACATAAATTAACATTCGCATTTATAAGTTTATAACACGTATCTGTGTTATTTTTAACTTTTCTAAAAAAAGTACGTTTATTTTTGCACTTAGGCATTCTTTTTTACTTTTATATACAAACATATAATACAATATATGGGCAGTATCAGAAAATCTGAAATCGTAATAAAATAATTGCAAATAATTTCAATTGTTAATAAAATAATTGAACTATAAAACTATATATAGGCTTAAATTATTTTTGTTTCCTATTTTTATACCATTTTTTACTGGGAAAACTAGTGCAGCACTGGTGCAATACAGTTGCAAACAAATGGTTTGTTCGTTTTAACTTCACTATTACAATAAGTTAGAATGAGACAAATATACCTTTTCTCTTTCTAATTTATTGCACTAGTTCGGCAGTGCAGCTAAAACGAACAGACCAACGAAGATTACCACTATTCAATACAGGGTGTTTACGGTAAATCGAGTATGAGTTAGTTCCACCAGAACCGAAAAATATGATAGGCACGACCACCTAATACCTTCATGATTTATGACAACTCAATGATGTCCGGTAAGGCGAGTAGAGTTAGTTAACCTAGTAAATAGGGAGCGGTGCACTTGGACACGGTGCATTTGGACACAGCCAATCACAGCACCGTATGATTAGAGACATTTGTAGGGTCCCTTGGAACAGCGACTTGTGATTGGACTGTGTCCAATTGCCCCGTGTCCAACTGATATACACCCTAGTAAATAGCGTTCGAACGAGTCAACATTATCAGGTAATAAAATTGTGTAAAATGTGAAACAATTACATTAAAAATTAATTAATTATTAAATTTTAGGAAAATTATAAATATTAAATTGAAGTTATAAAAAGTTATAAGAAAATATCATGTATTTGTGGAATATCCGAAATAAGAAATTCAATTATTCTAATCTACAACACATTTATTAAAGTTCCACAGATTTGGCTTGGTC